TGTATATTATAAAGACATATCTTTGCAATTTAATTGTTAATTTTTTAAATGTATACATAAATATCCCACACAGACATACTGAAAACTACAGTATAACCAGTAGGGACATCTTCGTGTCGGCTTTGATCTTCGTGTTGCTAGTCACGTGAGCATCCGTCATGTTAATTTACTATTAATTTATTTTATTAATTTACATTTACATTACTATCATATACATACATTACATATACATACTGTCATTACACATACATTACTGTCGTCTTGCATTTCATATTGAATCTCGCTCAAAACAAAAGCTGCGCAGCCCTACTGCGCATTTTTTCAAAAGTGACTCTACTCTCATGGACTGTCATGGGGCCTTTGAAAGTACTTTTTTTAAATAGAGTTATTCATTTCTGTGACGCATACTCATTTCCTATAATTTGTATCATACCGAAACGCGCCTGTAAAAAAAAATACTGCGCAGTACTTACAGTTAGTGCTCAGTAGTATTTTTCTATTAGGTTTTTTTAACATCCTAAAAGACATTTTAGGACGCCCACTAAAATCTGAATTAAAAACAGAATGAATTTGGTCATCCAGAAACATCCTAATGATATATTTAAACGACGATGTCCTATGGATAGTAGAATAAGCGGATATATAAACATCCTCAATACATCCTAAATACCTCCTAAGTTTTTTCAAATACGTACTCTGGGATGTTTGAAAATTCCTCGACTTATTATTTTTTGATATTTATGTATTAAAAGTAAAAAAAAAGGGAAAAGAATAAAGAATACCTAGGTAGCAAGCTGATGTTATTTGTTGTCATTTGACGTCAAAATAATGACAAATAATGTCAGCTCGCTGAAGTCAAAAAGAGGATCGTCGATTATAATCGACGAGAGTGGTGGAGGGCCTCTCAATAATCCGTAGAGAAAGACTGTGGATGTTATTAATAGATCGCCAAAAATATCCATGATTATATAATTGTATGTGCATACTTTATGTATATAGAAGCGTCAATAAACGAGTTTCATTCATTTCAAACATTTATTCTCGACCGTTTAGGTTTCTCTCTATACTATTGTACCGGAGAGGAACCGGAGAGGGGCCATCCCGGTATTTCTCGAAATTAAACGGGCTGAAATTAAATGGGCTGAAATTTAATTAGCAACATTTTTTTAGAAAACACAATATTCTTTTAAAATTGAGAGTTACTTATTATCTTCTACTGTTGAAATATATCTATATATGTATATTCTTAAAATTGTTTAACATCTTATTTATTTAAGACAGTCACAAGAGTACTATTAATGGCTATGTTCAGCAGAGAAAGCAGCTTGGCAACTGTTGTAAAATTTTTGTAAAATTTTAATATGATTGATTTCTATATTTAGATCCATAAAGAACCAAAGGCAAGAATTAATCGTTTTAAAGAATTTTACAATAGTTGCAAAGCTGCAGTTTTCTCTGTTAAATGCAGTTGATATCTATATTTACTGGAAGTTAATACTTCGTTAATGAATCCACTGTTGAAAAAAAAACCACTAATGAATTCACATATGAAAAAAAAACCCGACTCATATTCGGAGACAATCTTATCTCCAGTACATATAGCTACGTAGTTCCCAATTATAATTATTCACATAACGAGAGAGAGAGAGAGAGAGAGAGAGAGAGAGAGAGAGAGAGAAATATAACAATTCAATAACTTTCCAAATCAGCAAAAGATGACGTCACGAATGTTTCCATATTTATTTCCATAATTATTGTTTATGCATAATAGTCACAAAAAAAATGATGGAATAATAGCAATAATAATTTTATTGAATACAAATAATAAATACTTCGACTCAAATGAACGCAATCATAATGAAGGTTATTTTCTGAATAAATTGTAAAATTATTTAATGGTTCTACAATATTGCAAATGATTTTCTAAATCACTTGATAAATGTATGTCCGTGGACGTATTGAGGATTCCAGTCAGAGGAAAGGAGAAAAGAAATTTATCTTTATATATACAAAACTTATTAAAATATTTATATTAAAGCCAGCTTTTATTCATCCAACTATATATAGAAATCTGTGGCAGTTTCTTAAATAAGATGTGCTGGAGTAATCATGATTTATTATTGATCTGTCTTTAAATACTATTATATAGCGTAATTAAAACACACAATAAAGACACACAATAATTTTGTGAAATATTTTACTGCATATTTTATTGAAATTTTATTTACAAAGAAAGTAAAGATGGAGATATTATATAATAAATAATGATAATAAATTCAAAAATATAATATACTTATATTATGTGTGGTATAGTAATTTTATACTATTAAAAAATTAATATTATTTATGCATATAAATAAATTTTTATCGTATTAAAATAATTAATAATGCAGAATAAAATTCATTCATATACAGGGTTGGCCATATTTGACAGAAAGATGTTTTTTTTTTCAATCATGGCGCTACGTCGTTACTCGATCTAACATCTCTGTCAAAAGTTACAGTGTTGCCGGATCTTTCCGTCGAATATGGCCAACCCTGTATACTGTAGTCACAGTATTGAATTTGTATTGTATTATATAAATTAAATAAGTAATGTATATTGCATTTTTTAGAAATACATACATTATATGTATTGATATACTATTAAATTATATTGAATATAACAAAAAATGCTTTTTGTTCTAAAAAAAATTACGCTACATAATTTACAGGTTTGCATTTTTCATTATTCTATCATATTCTTTTCATTGTTTGTTTCATTATCGATACTGCATAATTGTATTTTTACAAAGTTTAGAATGTTAAATATCAGAACGCTAAATGATTAATATGAGTATTAATATTAGTTACACTATTGAAGTATTTCGTTAGAGACTTCGTTGCCTGGGAGTATCACATTCACATTGTCATCGAGATTTCGATCATTGCCGACGTCGGAAATTTTGCATGATGTATCCATATGGCAGGATGCTAAACAAAATATTTTTCATATACATATTTCACTTATATATTTATAACGTGTTAAACAATTTTAGTTTTTAATATATACATATATGTCAGAATTTTTCAGCGCTACATGATTGATAACTTTTAATTGCAAAGTAATTATTTTATAATTACTGCTATATCAATCTATTATATAAACAACATTTCCTATTATAATATGTACATAACACTTCAATTTTGTTATGGATTTTTGATGCAAACTTTATTTATTTCGATTAAGAGTGCCGTGTTAAGGATATAAATTTTAAAAGATGAAATTTAAAATCTCCAATTTACAAGAATTTTTCGATTTACCTTGCGAGCAACAAATTCCGTCTGAAGCGCATCTTGCAGTTTTTCCACGACACATTGCGTATCCAGCAATGCAGGGTCTGGTGTATAAACTTTCCTTTCTACATCGAAATGTTTCTGGTGTTCCTATGAAGCAACCGATACTAGGGCCACAGCAAATATAGGGCCCAAAGCATTGACCCAGATGATTAGGACCACATGAAGGACACTAGGAGAATATTATGATAAATATGAATGAATTACATATTTTGTGTATTTATTTATGATCTATGAAAATATCATTAATGTGAATATTTTACTAGGAAAAATAAATAGAAAAAAATTTTAAGATTTAAACATCAAGATATATTTTATTTCATTATATAAAGAAAATTTTTTTGTAACGTATTTTTTTGTTTCTTTTATCATATATTTCCATAGATAAACATCTTCTCATTATTAGATTAATTGTTAAATAATATGAGCAATTGTTAATCAATTAAAATTAAACCTCAAAATTTTTTGTTCTTCTGAGATTTTGTTACAATTATACTATAGCTGCGTTCCGTTATTTATTGCAATACTGAAAATCTATAGTATACGACTAATGTGAATTAGATTTTCAATATTCGCAGTGAATAACGGAACGCAGATATATTTGTTTCTAAGATTAGTATAATTTGTTTCTATAATAATATAAATTCTCTATTCATCTCCTTAAATTTTCTTTAATACAAATCGTCAAAATTTTACAAGTGCAAATAAAAATAAATACAATTCTTGAATTAATATAACTATTAAAATCATTGTAAATAGAAAAGAACATAAATAATAGAAGAGCAATATACAAGATAAATAAATTATAATTATTTCATTTTTAATGACATGTTTAATTGAGTGAATATAAGAATTTGCTAAAGTCTTTATAAAATAAAATTTATTTGCAAGAAGATGATTAAAATCAAAAGAATTTTACTGTAAAAATAAAAATATAATGTAGTATAACGTACTTCTCGAATAACAGTTTTCAAAGATGCTATATCACTCCTCTTTCCGCCACGAGGACAATTCGTAATCAAACAAGCATAACTCAGAAAAATCAAACTCGCAAAAACAATGAGTTCTTTTAACATCCTGAAGAAATTTTAGCGATGTTGTGCGAGATGATATACAGACGATTGGAAAGATACTACTGTACCTCCTGAGAGGCTCTCCCGGGTATTTATACATATTGAATCTCCTTACTTAAAATTCTTTCTGGGTATTCGGGAATATTTCCACTCGAAATGCAGCACTCAAAAGATTAGGAAAATAAAAAAAGCCGATCTCTATGTGAGAATAAATGTATAATAAGATATTATACTTCCATTCATTGTTGCAGAAGCTAGTTTCTAACTTTCTTTACTATAAATAAATATTGGAAAGATATAAAAATATATAAAGAAACAGATTAAAATACAAATTCATAAATTTTTTAATATAAATATTATAATTACATTTATATTTAATAACATAAATATAATAATATAATACAATTTTAATTTTAATATAAATATATATAATATTTATATTAAACCACCAATCGAATTCACATAAAATTAAACACTTACTATAATATTATATAGAAACATTTATACTAATTTTGTTATTTTATTTGTAGAAATATTAATAAATATTAATATAATATTAATAGAAGCAATAATTGGAAGTCTTAAAAGTGGTCACTGGCTTTTACCTAATTTATCACAGTTGAAACATCTTCCTTTAATATTCAGCATTGAACCACATGTGTGTTTCTCTAACATACACCTCTTGCAAATTCGGCAATGTTTCCAAGTAGGTTTTACACATCGTTTACATATATTGCAGTGCTTATACGTTCGACCATCTTTAGAAGTACATTCTTTACACTTCTTGCAATGCTTATTTTCACTAGAAACCCACTTTGCGCAATCTTGACAAAATTTATATCCATCAGCTGAAGGAAGTTCTAATAGATTTAACGGTATATTCGTGAAAATTCTCACTGGAGAACCTTGCTTTCTACCATGTTTTTCTGATATAAATAAGAGATGATTATCATAATCCACTTTATAATCAGACATTTTTAAATCTCTTAAACCACCAGTGACATGAGATGGATTACTCTTTTCTCTCATTATATGTTCCATAAAATATGGAAATATAAACATGATTTTCAAGAAAAAATTGTCATTACAAACATGTTTATTCAATTTTTTATGCAGATCAAATATTGTTTTTATCGTAAATGATATAGGTTCCAAACGGCCACCAAACGGAGGATCGCATATTAAGTAAGTGTCCTTTCCTTCATTTTGAGTAAGAAAATCTTTGAAAACATTAATGGCATCCTTGTTAAAAAAATGATGATTAAAAAGATTGTACCAGCAATAATCCAGTGGTCCAAAAAAGTTATGCTAGAATGTAAAAAACATATTTAGTAAAATTTATGTATACTTATAAACATTATTAAAGTATATTACAAATTGACTAATGATTTTTGCTAAAATACTCACAAATCTTCCATCAAAATCCAAAAGGAGAGAAGATATTTTATTTGTACAATGCTCGATTATGTATTCATGTATTCTTGGTGTGCCAATACAAAGAATCTGCTTAGCTCCAAGTTTCAAAAGCATATTTATTATATCTTCTGTAGATTTCTTAGAAAATAAATATTGCGCTTCCTTCTTTGCATTTTCTAAAGGTCTTAAAAGTTCTGTTGGATGATGCATCTGATAATCAGTTAAATTCTCTGTAATCTCATGATCCGTATGCTTATCTTTTTCAGAATTAAATATTAATTTCTCACAATTATGACAATAACTCCTTTTTGCCACAGATTCTATCTTAAATTTATTAAAGCGAATATATAATTCTTGATGAACATAACGCTGAGTGAACTTCTTATTTTCCAGCTCCCACATATGCTTTTGAGATTTTGACAGTTCTTGCCCATATTTTAAATAAAATCTGCATAACTTTCTATCACGGCAAGCAGAACATGCATAAAATTTCTTAAGTCCTTCTTCGACATATTTTCCAAATAGTAATGTCGGTCCTGTAAAAAAGGGTTAATTTATTTCTTAAAAGAATCAATTTTTTTAAATATAAATATAATAAACTTTTGTGTATAACATGAAAAAATTACCATGAGGACATTGTGGATAATTTATAGGATTTCCCCACAAACATTCTACACCACGTGTGTCGTTCATAATTTTCATGTAAACAATTCACAGGTGAGTTTAGGTTCTATCAGGCTCTATACATATATTAGATGGTAAATCAGGAATCGCGACAATTTTTATCGCTTGAGTCATACCATTTAGTGCCAAATATGATTTTAAGCAGGGTGGTGTCTATTATATTTCAAGATTATATTTGCATATTATAAACTATTTATGTATTGTTTAAAGGTCGTTAGGCTTATATGAATTTTATTTATGTAGACGATATAAGTAACGTAAAATATACAAATTGTTACAAACTAAAAGGAAAAAATATTATTAACCTACATTCATATCTCGGAAATGGTGCTTCTTGGAATATTTTAAATAAAATTATAAATTACAATTGAAATATTTTAAACAACTTCAATGATTGATTTATTTGAAAAACTTTGGAAGGTGCAAACTAAAGAAATTGTAATTCACAAGTCAAAAATGTATTTTATTATGATTTGTTCTACAAGTGCTGTGACCGTTTGCCGTTTGGTGTATGCAAATTTTCTTATTATTACAATTTCTGGAAACATAATAGCAGATACATGTAAGGGGCATGTCAAGCCTCTATAATTTTTACGTATGGTTTTGTACGACCAATGTACATACAAATTTTCCTTTCGCAAAAAATAGGTGAATTAAAAATTTATATCACACATATACATAATATACGTACATATGTAATATTTTATGAAGCTCAAAGAAAAGATCAAAAAATATTTTTTTTTCACAAAGAAAAGAGAATAATTTTTTTTCAATTGTTTATTTTAAGTATTCACGCAGTCTAATTCGTGTTAAATTTTCGCAAATTCACCTATTTTTTGCAGATTGTTCATACAATACTGCGCAGCTAAATGCAATAGCACACATCAGGTTTGATAATAAATTTGCATTGGACCTTACATTGCATTCATTGAACAAAATTTAAATTTAAGACTTCCTTAAAGTAATTCTTTTTTAAATTGACAGTAGAGCAAGCAAATATATATAACGCAAGAGCTTGCGTTAATCAAACTAAAATTAAAATTTTTCAAGAAAGAGAATACGTATGAAAACAGCCTAATTTTATTCTTATCCTAAAGCATTGCAAATGTCTTTTAGAATGCACGCTTTCATAATCTCTGCTCGTGAATTTAATCCCTAGTAACACAATTTATCGGCGATATATTGGTTAAACATTAGCATGCATTTAGGATATATATTGAGTCAGTATTGCGCCAATAAATTGTGTTAGGGATCTGTATGCATTCTATATGCATTCTGTAAAATTGTATCACAGACTATTGCTAAGAGTAAAAAGAATATTCGCTAAAAATACGAGCTTAGAATTGCTATAAATGTCAATATGTTTCCAAAGCGTTTTCAACGGGGAATGGAAACCATCGAAATGAGATAGATTATTTACATTAGTGGGCAATGTAAAGTCATGTTATAGTTCCCTATAATAAATATAAGATTTATGTAATATTTTTCCGATCCTCCTACATCATTGCTTTACACATAGATCAAGGAGAATGTATTCTGCAATTTTATAAGCATATACTCGATATAATATTGCATTGCTGACTCTTGAAATACTTTTATAGTAAGTTTGCAACATCTGTTAAAGCATCTAAAATTATTAACACTAATAAAAATGTGATTTTAATACATGAACTTATTACTCAGTTCTGCTCTCTGTTGCATAATTAAATTATATCGCAACTACATTCTTGTAACCACATTTACAAATTTATAACTTAATTAATTTTTTTATTTAACAAAAGCCTTTAATTTTTTCTATTTATATATTTTTTAATAACTCTAAAACAATTACATATTTATATTATCTAAAAAAATTCTAACACATATTTCTCGAAAAGCTAACAAGGATAGAATGTCATGTATTTTTCTGTGTTTGGTAACCATATATCTTAAACTCATATCACTAATTCCATTACACATTTATATATATATATATATATATATATATATATAGATTTTACTAAATTGTATTTAAATAATTCTCTGTATTTACATAATTGACTATGAAGCTTCTCTTTCTGATTTCTCATACAAATAAATCGTCTCATCTGCATTTTATGTTACTCATTTCATATATTTTAATTTTTAAAAAATCATCTATGAACAAATAACACGTATCTGCTTAAAAAAATAAAATCTTAATACTATTATAAGACTTAATGATACAATAAGAATAAAATATTTAATACTGATACAAAATGTTTACATATCAACAGCTTTTTATTATAGATTGATCACAAGTTAAATAAATTAGTTTCAGAAAGATGCTATTAAAAATATAAAAATATACCCTAAAATTTAGCAAATGTATAGTAAATTTTATACACATATTGGCTCAAGAAAAGTTCTAAAAAACAGCATGATTTTATAACAATACAGAAATTCTTCAGTTCATTTGTTAATTATTTTTTATGCTTAATATTTATTAATTTATCAAATCAATTAATATTATGAATAAATATTGACCACATTGTACTCTGTGTTACATAGTCGTAGTTTTGTTTATCACAATAGAAAAGAGTTTTCTTTCCTACAGTGAATTGTTTCGTTCGTTAATTATTTCACATCAACAATGTTATTTTGTGAATGTGAAGTGTGAAAATAGGTGCAGTGAGATCGATTTATAACATTTTCTACAAAATTCGCCACTTTCTACGTGATATTTTTTTATATTAAATTACGCGATCAATATATAACAAAACTGTTTATAATACAACGCTTAATATCCTTCTTTTTTTTCAGAGTGTGTGAAAGCATTTGCATTGCTAACATATCTCATATTATTCGTAAATATCAATAATGTATATTCGTAAATATATTGACTGTTGTATTCGCGTGAATATTATTGATATTTAAGAATATACAATCCATCAATAAGCTCTAAATTGATATTTAATGACGAATCGCGTTCAAAAAGCTAGTCATTCGGGTAAAGAGTTTACAAAGCAATAAGTTTAGATTGACAAGAGGCCCATCTTTCCTGAAGTTTCTGGCGCTCCTCCATATGGTGTTCCGACAAATTTCGCATTACTTGGCCTGTCTTTAATTTTCTAGGGTCTAAATTAGCTCCTAACGTTTGAACACCTTTTGCAAATTTGGAGAACGGCAACAAAATATCTTTGGCTGTAGATGCTACAGGACTAGTAACGCTCGCGATATTTTCCTTTATGGATTTTAAGGCAGATTCGCTTTGGGACGATGTAATGCTCAACGTCAAATCCTGTTCCGAGGCTGATCTTTTCTTTTCATCTAATCTATTATCCGTTTGAAGAGTAGTACTCTTAACACCACTCGATGTTTTATTATCAACATCCCCTGTCGAATGACTAATATTCTTGGTAAGCGATAAGCTTGATAGTGGAATCATGCGATCTCTTTCATCGCTTATATTATCTCCTGTATCGTACACTGTTATCTCTGGCGTCGTTGCTGTAGTCTTCTGCGGTGAAGCGCTGAGAGTACTAGTACCGGATCCAGTTTGCGGAATCAGATGTAATGCATCAATGGCTACATCAGGTTTCAAATTTAAATTCACATTGTTAGGTCTCATCTTCTTGGATATTTCCTCATTTACATTAGAATCGCAAGCACTACCATCCACAACATTGGTATTTTTCACACCCATAATAATACCAATCAATGGTGTATAAGCTTCCATCAAATGCTTGTCATGACTGAAATTCTCTGGCTTCTCGACGTGTATGTGTGTCATTTCGATATTCTCGCTGCTACTGCTGCTGCTGCTATTGTTACTCTTCTCTTCTGCATTGCCTGAGATATTGCTGTTACCAACTGTAAAAATCGGTTTAGGTGCCTTCTCCGCCGGTTTATTACTTATATTTTTCGCTAAATCAATTGGCTTCTTTGCGCTGAAACTCTGACTCAGTTTATTCAATTTGCTAAATTGCTCCGACATATTGCTTAAAGCTTTTGTACCTAGAAGTATTCATTTTTATAAATATTTTATTATATGTGTAAATAATGAAAACAATTTAATAACAAACCTGCTGTCTTTAAAGCAAGTAACTGTGTCTCAGATACATTTCTTGTCAGTTCCGGAAATGATGAAATATCCAATAATCCAGTAGAACCTTTAACATTCACTAATTTACTCTTTCTTTTATCTAACGTAACATTCATAGCTATGGGAACTTTTGGCAAGTTTGCTATCTCCATGGCTATTGAAATAGCTTCACAAATTGCCTTCAAAGATTCTGTAATTTAAAAATATAAAGTATAAAATTTCAGAATTGCTATAGATAAAAATAAAGAATATGTTCTCTTACCAATGCTTTCCTCTTCAGTTTTGATCACAACCGCCATATTATTGAAAAATCTTAAATTTGTACTACGAAACATATGAAAGTAACCATAATCGCCGTTTACTTTATAATTAATTCTAACACAGTAGTAATGTTTATTCTTGAAAAATGAGACCATGTTTTCAGGTTGACCAAATTCAATTAAAACAATATCATCTAATAAAACTTTTTGATAGTTCGTAACTTTATCGATTTGATCGTCATAATCAGCAATGTAATAACTATCTCGAGTCAATATTAAAATAGTGTCCATTTCCGTCTCGGTTGGATCACCAGTACTGAAATAAAAAAAAATCAATTGAAATAAATTTATAAACAAACACAATGTAAATGTATTATGGAAAACAATTCATTATTTATACGTACATAGGATCAGCATCAATAACTCCCCAACTGCCTAGAATAACTTCTGGATCAGGTATCAGTAATTTTTTGCAATCTTCAATCAGTAATTTCACGTGAATCGCAGTTGCCGCATTATCTTCCTCGTCGGTACGTTCTAAGAATACTTCTTCGCTTACTGAATTTCCCAGCATCATATCAATCGTCGCTTGTCTGTAGACATCCTTGAAACGATTTAAGTAATATCTGCAAGAATATTTTAATTCTCAATGCATAACGTACGCTGAAAGAACGATTCAGAGACAGAGTATCAAGAAAATATTCCAAAGAGTGTTTAATAAATTATATTCTATATAAAAGAAATTGTTTAAATGAGAGAAAGCGACTTTTTTATATCTAATTTATTGATTATAATATTAACTATAGTATTTACAAAAATGATTGATTTATGAATCAAATTAAAATCTTGTAATAAAGGAAGAATATAAGGTCAAAATTAAACATGCAGAAGGATTTTCATAACAAAAAAACAACTCATGCTGACAATAGCACAAAGCATTTCTTTTTACGCCACATGATTTAATATGTAATAAAAAATAACAATAAGATAAATTAATTTTAGAAAACTGTAACTGCTGTATATTTTCCAAAAATTAAGCTAAAAGCAAGCAACGAACCTTGCTAAATTATATAGAGCAGTGGCATAAAGGAAGTCAGGATGAGTAGCAAGTTGAAGTTGTATATTTGGTGGTTTCATAGGTATAAGTTCAAGACAGCAATTATCAAGGATATCTAAATAGTGTGACCAATCGTTGTTCAGTTGATGAACATCAATCGAGTTCCCTAGCAGCGTATCTATTGCTGCCTGACGTAAGTCATCCATAAAGTGTTGTTGATAGTATCTATAGGAAAATGAAAGGACAATGTCAGGGTTCCATAGAGAATAACATTGAGACATCTAACTGGGATATTATCTTCCGCGGCATAATAACTGTGAAGGTTCTGTGTCATGTGAGATATTGGAAACAAAAAAAGGGAAAATGAAAAATGAGAAAAATTAAGTGAATTTAAAATGTGAAGGATAAGAATACGAAGCTCTACCTGTTTGCAGAATTCATGCCGTCTTTCATCAGCCCAGTAAATTTTCTCTCCCCAGTACGTGTATAATCTCCCTATAAATAGTAAGAAATCGTAGATCATTCAGAAATCATTTGGAACAAAATTAACGGTTTATGTTAAGACAGACTTTGCACGGGCAATTTGTGAGATGTACAGACCTTTAAAGCATTTGTTCCTGCATATTGCTTGCTAATAATGTCTCCATTATTAGCCCAAAGCGATTGGAAAGTCTGTCTTATATTTGCAGGCAGAATTCCGTCAGGTGGTATTAGTCCCAGTTTTGAAAATTGCATTTCCATAACAGCTTTACCCAGAGCAGTTTGTACCACGTTTGTTCTATCTAAGCAATCTATGCAATTTACACGAAACACGCCCTTTTGCATGCAAATCGTACCTTGTTTATCGCGCCAGCAGTAACCCATATTTGCTAGCATTGTAGCTAATGCATTAACCAGAATAGACACATTTTCAAAATGCATTCCTCGACTGCATTTAAACACAAAATTTTAAAGATAAACATCGTAATAAATATGAAAAGCATGAATTGAAGCAATTCACTTAGCTACTTACCAATATTCATGAAAATCGAAAATGGTGTATGTTATATCTGAATTATTATAATTAAATACATGATTACTGTAAGCTTCCCAAATAATCCTTTCTTTACCAGTCTGTTCGACTAGATTAACAATACAAATAGGCCCATAAAATGCAAGTTCTTCACCAAAATGCTTCTCGAATGCTATCTGTGTTTCAGCCTCATCTGCAATATCATTGTACGAGATTATTACGTTACATAAAAATAATCTAATCTAGTTTAAAGGTAAAAGATATCTCTTTACTTATACCTTTATCAATCCGTGGTGGAGGTTTATATTTATATCCAGGTTGAGACCAATATACTGGCACACTTCCTCGTACTTGTACAAAAGATACTTGATGATCATGATACCAAACTAATTGTTCAGTCTCAACATAATTTGCACACTTGCCATCATCATCCACTCCACGTCTCTTGTACCTGTACATGTTATATGTATTTAGAAATACTTTTTAATCCTAATAATTAATATTGGGTAAGATAAAACTTATAATTAATATGACAATCTAATTATGAAAATTATCTATGTAAATGAAAATTACCTAGTTCCAGCACGGAATCTACTCCTTCTCGATATAATTGCCAAATTAAATATCTCTTGTTGCGGTTGCTCGTCAAAACCTACCTCGACTATGCATTTTTCTATTTGAACATATCCTTGAATAATTGGTAATATCCAACAGTTTGCTTTTTCTGTCTGCAGAATAAGACAAAAATAAATATTATAAAAAATGAAAATCTTGAATTAGTTATTGGATGTACAGTCATTATACAGCTGACTTTAAATAATATATACCCATTTATTATTAAGCAAATAAAGAGATAAATTTTATGTATCTACTATATACAGTTAATATAATTATACAACAAAGTCATAGGATATTTATTTGGCCAAATATAATGTCTTATTGTTTAGAGTCACCTGTATATAAAAATAAAGACTTTTTAATTACGAACATTTAGATTAATAATGTCATGTAACATATGTTTGTTCCAGAAAAATCTGTCGTCTACACGTTGCCATAATGGCTTATCTTGATTGTCTTGTCCATGCTGAGATTCCATTATGCATTGTCGCTGCAAACTATTAGTAATATCACCAGTCTGACAAAAGAAGAATGAATCAGTTTCGGTAAATATCTTATTCAGCTCTTCCAAAATTCTCTTCTCAAATCTGTCTTTATCTTTTACTACGCTGCGTTTGATCACTGTAGACTTCATCTGTACAGAAAATATTGAGAATATAAATTGTGTAAGACATCAAATATGAATTCATAAATACCAACAGGTTCCTTACTTGAGATGTAGCCAATGCGGCAGCTTGCTGTGTAGTATTTTTTATAGTATTTGTGGCATTCTTGATTGTACCCCAGGTTTTCGCTAAAGCTGCTTTCTGTGGCACATCAAATAATCCACTGCTCCCTTTCTTCTTCAATACATATTGATGTTTCTTACAAGGTAGTAAACCAATATCCACATTCTCCGTGCCAATATGTAGAAATGCGATAGATTTAATTTTGTAAACAATGTGACCGCCATGTAATTCTCCGGCTGGTGTGATATCCTTTATGAGCATCAAGCGAGGTTCTAATACCGATGTCTGTTCAATTTTTCCAACTATTCCATAAAACATCCCCAGACATTCTAAATCCTTCGGGGTGGCCCATTCCCAATCTGTAAAATCCATCATCAAAATCATCATTTCTATCAAAATAATTAAATGTCACTATCAAACCCTACATATATAATATTTCTTTATCAATCATCAGAAATGCTATATCATCTATAAATCTTTATACGGACATAATGTACATACTCCCACTTGAAATTGATTCGCGTCCTCAAAACGTGACGTCGAGATCGCTTTTCGTATACGACGCTTTGTCTCCACTCACTTTATATCAAATACAATTGTACACACACCCACCTGATTTTGCGGCGAATTCACCGGTATACTTGTCACACCAGAGGCTGTACCTCTCTTTCACGAAGATAAAATGAGTGTCAGTGCGGAACAACTCCATCCTTCTGTTTTCCTGCAAGTTTGACAGCTACAGGCAGCATGTGTGACGTTTCCGCGTCGAGCAAAATATCCGCTTACCACCGAACGCTCGCCATGTTGCTCATGACTAAACGCTCAGCCGTGCTCAACCGATTATGTTCTTCGATGTTAAAAGGCACTGACAAGCGGAGGAGGGAAGGTTATAACGCAAATCAATCCCATTATTCCTCAATGGGCAATGCCGATGCAGCTAGTCGCTCAATATTCCGATAAAATGCTTTTCCGATTCGTTTGATTAGAGTCGTTCTTGACCTGATTGGTAGTATATGAATAATTGAGGCGGGATCTCGTAATGTTCCTTTTTTACATTTATTAATTTATTATTATTAAGTAGTTTTTTTCTACCACATTACTTTTAGAGAGAAGGATGAATGTCTTGGATGAATTTATTGTCTAGAGGCTTTATATCTTAACAAATGATCATCATTTAAAATATTTAATGTACTAATTTTCTTTAATCATAATATTCGCATGTAATAAATTTTGAAATATAAAAGAGCGAATTTTAAATGTCTCTTTAAAATATAATTTCTTATGAATATTAAGATACTATATATAACTATTTCAGAGATATTTTTATAGCAATTTTATCAAAATTATACTTAAGATGCAATCATGCTGGCATTCGACGCTCATTTTTAGCTTTAAAATAGGCCACGTGGTCCAAATTGAATGTCAAGTGTCAATTTTAATCATGTGATCTATTTTGACCTTAAAAATAAGCTTCAAGTGTAAATATAAAAAAATGCTATTACAGAAAATATAATTTCACAAGAAATATAATTATATACATTTATAAAAATAAGAATTTAATGAAATAAAATAAATGTATTTAAGCAAAAAAAAAATTTATTTGTAGTCTTTTTTAAAAAATCTCTAAAAAAAATTAGAGAGAAAATAAATGGTAAATATATTTCGAATACGTTTATCATGTTTGGTAGATACGGATCTAAAATTTTAAAGGTAGACAAAATTAAAAATCGAATTGTTGGATAAATTAACTTTATTATACAATATTATATGAACTTTTCATCTTATATTTTACATCCTTCTGTAATGCTTTAAATCGGTATGAAAAATGTGGAAATAGTATCTTATTTAAACAGTTTAAAAATCGTTCAATTCCCTAAATAAAGTCGCCAACCAGCATTTAATTATAAAATAGATATTGCATTTACATAATCAGTGCATTACGTAATGATTGAAATATCTGCATGAAACCCATGTAGGTGTAAACTGTGAACAATTGTTTCTGCGTCGTGTCGAATAAGATTAAAAGTTCGTCAACTCATACACATGACGCAAAATGTATATAACAAACTCTACATGTAGAAAATTTTGCAGACGTGATTTTGCACAGCACTGGATTCACCCAAATCGTTATATTATTGCATCTCTCGTGTTGATCACTCCGTGCCTTTTATTTAAATCGCTATACATGTGTATACACAACCAATGATTACAAATACATAGAATAAAAAAAATGTGAAAATACGTATGTTTTCAAAAAAATTGCTACATAGATTTGTTCGTGTTGCTTAAAATCTCTAAAAATTTTTGCATTAAAACGAAATAAATATATATTCGGATATTGAAAGCAAATATTCTAAGTGATTCTAAAAAATCCAAACAATACGAACAGACCTAAATATCATGCGTCATTTTCTTGCAATGAAAGGAAACTGACGCTTAAGTTAATCATCGTTCTATCCAACGAATAGGACAGCCTTGTTGATTTTCAGTCATGGTTTTAAAACATCCGACAAATACATTTTCTTGATGCATTCACTTCATCAGATACAATCTTGAAGTCACTCTGTATTTCTCCTGTCAATCAATATGTCTCTTCTATCAATCAACTAGTCAAAGTGGCATGAAGAACAATACATTTCGTCAAAATTTATTGTTTATCACTGCTGCTAGTCTGTTCATTGCTGTGATCGTTTTTTTTCGGTTTGTATTCTTCCCATTTTCTATGATTAAGGATTTGAAAGTCTTCAACATCGGCTATCAATTCCAAGTATCTTGATAGTTTCAGTAGTTCAAAGTCTTTAACTCTGCTCGTGTGAGCGTGTTTGAAAGGTTTTATTCTCAATCCTGACTGCGGATTCATTATGAAGTTTCGTCTGATATCGTCAAACATTATTGTATTTTTCGCGGAGAACTGCTTGTATTTTCCCCAAATAATACCGAGTGGCTTTACTCCGACAACCCCATATTTCGGTGTATGAACAGTGATCATGGCAAGGACGTCCAGATGAAAAGCTATTTTATAGTTTGGATGATTTGAAACTCCCAAAAGCTTCATTTTCTCATTGATCCATCTCATGCTAGTCGCTGACCAAATGACTATATCATAATTTTTATAAGCACGTGTCAAGAATTCATGGAGATACGGACGCATTAGCTGTGCTCCGCTCTCTGCCACTGACCTGTGATCAAATAAAGTGTAATCTATGTCTAGTACAAGAAGCTTTTTACCATTTCTTAAAGGATTCAGCTCTGTGATTATATAGCGATCGATTCGTATCTGGATTTTACGTAGATTTATTTCAGCTTTCTCAATCTCTACTTCCTCCTCTTCTATATCTAGATCATTTATTACATCAGGTACATTCTCAGGTGCTTGACTGACCTCAGCAATATCCTCCTCACGCGAACCCATTAACATTAGTTTGAAGCCAGGCTTTAAATTTAATTTGCTGATTATGTCCTCATCTTGTGCTGCCTTGCCTAACAAAAGAACAAATTTCTAAATATTTTTTTAAAAACTTTGTGTATTTAGATTAACTATATCTATTACAAATTTTCTATTACTAATTTTTCACAATAATAAAAACAATCAATATATAAAAGAATTTTTAGTTCATATATCCCATATACTGTTAATAATTTTTTACTTTCATATATAGGAAAGCAAAATTATTTTAAGGATTATAAATTTATAATTTATATGATCTTATTTTATATATTATTCATAATATATATGTATATACAATATACAAAATATAAGTTAAATAATTATAATTGATATATACTGGATAATAATTAATAGCTAGATATTTAGCTGTATATTTCTTTCAAGACAATAAACTCTAAAACAAATTATTATAATTACAATAATGACTATATTTATTTGACAGAACTTATCAAAGAATAGTTCAAAATATAACCTTTAAACTTTAAATTTAACAATTTTTGACGTTCCGGACGAACACCTGTTTCTCTGTGTATACGCTCTTTCAGAGTAAGAACCGTATCTTCCTCTTGAATATCGAGGATATCGTATTCTTTTCCGCTCCATTTCACTACAATTCTTAATTCACCCTCCATTCTCACTCTTTCAATTGCATCAATGGAACGCGTGCATTGCGATTCTAAAAAAGAAACGTCCGGATGTTCCAGATCATTCTTGTGACTGTATTATCGGTAATGCCGGATTTGATTGGAAATTATATCTTTAATGAACAATTGATTAAAAATATCTAGTAAATATATTTTTTAGAATAGCAAAACGTAGTGGAATAATGAAATAGCGAAAAAAATTGTTTTTTTAATTTCATGTTACTGTTGGTAAGCGCGCATGCATCATTATCGACTTTATCGATCTTGCGGGTAAATCGTAAATCAGGTCTACATGACCCTTCGAAACCACTGATTTGGGGAAAGGGAAAAGCATTTAAATATTTGGGTAATTACATAGTATTTTTCTTGAGAAATTGTCTTTTCTTTTCTTTTCTTTTCTAATCTTTCTTCGAATATTCTTGTTTCATTTGATGACATACTGAATATTTGTATTGACAAATAATTAAAAAAAAAAATATATATATATATATATATATATATATATATGTGTGTGTGTATGTATATATAAAAATGCATTCAGAATTGAAAAGTATTCAATTTAACATTCGTGAATCAATATTTCTGAAAATCTGAATCCATTTCAATTCATTTCAATCCATTCTCGTTTGCTAGGTAAAAGTTAAGAAGTAACTCGATAATCAGCACAATCAAGAGAAATATACAGTAGCGAATAAAAGAAATTACAAATGTTAGAAGTACATATATCGGATTTTTTAAAAATTAGACAATGCCGCAACACTATATAGACTAACCAACACGATGAGTGAGAAATAATTGTTAAAAATGGACGTGAAACAACTTATATAATTATTATCACATTGAGAATGATCCGATGACGGATAGAAAATGTTTTGTTGCATGTAATTAATTTTATACATTAAATTATAATTATTAGCAATAAAAATCTAGCTAGACTCGTAACCTTTTTTATTTACTTGCTTTAATAATAATATAGTTAAATATAATATAATTAACAATAGTCAAGAAGGGCTATGAGTCAAAACAATAACTTTAATCTTCAAAACTTTTTCAAAGCACTATTTAGTTTAACTAGACTACTAATTTCATGTAAAAGATTTAACTTTAGGTAAATTTAATACAGATACTGTAAAGATTCTTAACAGCATTTATAAAATAGGTTTTTATTAAATTCATTTTTAATAATTAATTTAAGATGGAAGACACTTTTTAGTTTGTTATATTTTTAAAGTTTTATTTTTATCTTTTGTTTAAGAAATATTGTTTAAAAACAAAGTGGTGGATCGGTATCGGCGACTTTCTTCTATATATATTTTAAAAATTCCTTTTTTCACTGTAAAAAAATTAATTAGATTCTCAATTTTTCGTGTAATTGACGGATAAAATTCGATTACCGGATTATTACGGATTTAAACCAGCAGTTATCAGACATATAATGTGTGACACCTGATATGTAGAGATATTCTTTATCAGATAAAAACAGATATATGTAAAATCTCCACATCTAAAACAGCTTTCAAGCTCATAATTCTTCACCGATTCTTGAAAGCAACTTTTAACTTCCCATTGCGTTACCTATCCCCTAATTCTTATGGCATTTCCCCGCGAAACACTCCACTCGATATTCTCGAATTAGAATAGTTATTATTATACAATTTAAAATGCAATCAATGAGAAACTAAATTTTTATAATTTTTTTATTTGCCGTGAAGAATACATATATAAGTCTGTATTCAGAACACGCTGTAATGAGCGCTGATAAAATATAGTTTGCATTATATGTATATACCTACTGTAGAATTTTAAAAATAAAAAACGCGCATTTGTATCAATAAAAGCGCGTTCTGAACACGAGTTACAATATAAAGTACAACATTAATTCGTTTACAAAATTAATTTGCATTAATTAATTTTTATTATATCATTAAATTACGTAAAATTTATTGTTATTATTATAAATATATAAAATTTAATATTTTTAAATATATTTTTTAAAATTATTTTTTCGATAGTTTGTATTATACATATAATCGCATCTGTGCGAAAATTGAATAATTAAGCAAAATTTATAAATAATTCATAAAAAATACATATTTGCTAATAACACAAATGAAATTATTTTGTAGTGAAGATACATCGAGAAATGTTCATTTTATAGTTGTTAAAATATCTGGACCACAGGTAAAAAATTTGCAAAATCCAATTAAACAAAATAATTTGTATCAGTCTGTGAAAATTAATTAACTCAAGCGCTACGATGATGTTAAATTATAATTTTCTTTCCATGGTGTAAAGGAAGGTCCTGGTATATCTTTGCATGATACCATAGAATTATCAGTGCCAGCAGAACGCATAACTTGTATCTGAGTCTGCGTGATTCCGTCAGAACAATCACATATTAATTTCGCCATCGAACTCTTGCGAATCTCCATGAGTTGATCTGAAATTTTTGTAAAATTTTTGTTACATTCTTGCGTTTTATTCTTTCTTAACTTAAAGTTAAGATTTTGACAGAATAAAATGTTTTATAAATTTCAAAAATCTGTTAACAAACTAATATTTAAGTAAAATTATATTTACTTTTTTAAAGGTACGTATTGTACATTTTATTCATTTCTTATATACATACACACACACATATATATATATACATGTATATATATATATGTGTGTATATAATGTGTATATAATATGTATATAATTAATATAAAAAATATATATCTAAGTCAACATTTTTAAAAATCAAGATTGTGATAATTGACGATTATTACATATATAATATTGGGTCATCTAAAAAGTATCCGCGGTTTTTTTTTATAGTATATTTTAGAAAAATATTTATTTTATAGAGAATTTTAATCTAATTTAAATTCCATATAAAAAAATAATACAATGTTTCTCAAAACAAAACATTTCAACTTCGAATCGCCTTAATTTGCACTTTGTAAGCGAAAAATAGTGCAATAGAATTTATATTAAACATACAAATGCTTAAACTAATTATTTTTTGTGCAATTAAAAAAACAAAATAATAAATTTTTTGTTAAGCCACTTTTAAAATTAAACTTTGTTACTCGCCAAAATTTATCGTACCTTCTGTGAAAGGATATGGCTGTTCGACAAATTCGTACCAGAAACGATCTCCCTTTTGCAAACGTACAAACTGATTAAGAATCAAGCACCTAAACGTGGGTCCGATTAAACTGTCTGATTCTGGTATTTCCGCTAAAGCGCCGGTATACAAATCCACATCATCCACGGTCTCATAGAGATCCGATATCTGTTTTAGAACTTGATGATCTAAGTAGTCTTCGAGGTCATCAAAAGTTTTCATCTTTCCCAGACCACAATATTCCCGCCATACAGTGTATCCTGGTAATCCATGATCCCGTCCCCGTTGAATATTCAATGACACCAAATCAAGGCCGCATGATACCGTAGAATTAGCCATGGGATCCTCAAAGAGGTGATTGGTCAGCTGCGAAGTTACGTGCGTAGAGTACCTCTGAATAACGTTGGTTGTGGCCGAGCTAACTGAACGTTTGATGCCATCCTCGGCGTAAAGACTATAGGGATTAAACAGCATTTTGTGTAGCTCTATGTAGGATGGTGTGTCCTTTTCAGCGTCCGTCATTCTCATCAATCCTGGTAGCAAAGTGTGAGCGAAACGAAAAACCGCAGTTGCAAAGTGATTGGCGATTGTTGGATCGTTCTCTAATTCGTCCGGACCGTGCATCCGCTTCTTGTAGCCCGACATAAGGGGCTTTAAGTCCTGCTCATTCATTCTTTTGTCGCCTACGATAATGGGCAGAAATTCGCGATAAGTAATGTGCTGCAACTGAGCTCCGACAATTCGTCGTGTTTCCTGATAGAGCGTCTCGTCGTTCCAAGCGGGATTGATCCTAGCCAATTCATTTGCGATTCTGTTATGCTGTCGCGCCCAAAGAAGGTGCATCGTGGTCAGGTGCAAATTCTCGTTCGCCCTGGCATCGCCCGCGGCAAAGCAATATCGGCCATGACGTCGCTCGGCTTCTCGATTGCAACCATCATTGAGATTCGTGCTCGGCGGCAGCAGAGTCCTATTGTCGGAAGTGTACTGCATCCTCAAACGACCACCGATGAATTCGCGCAGATTGTAAGCAGTCTTGTTATCGGAACCATAAATAGCCGAGCCATCAATGAAGGCGCTGACCTGGATGTAACGTTATATCTACAATCTCTTTCCAGTCTCAATCGCTTTTGGCGATCCGAATAATTTTTAAATCTATTTATATATCCTTATAAGACGCAATATTCTTAGAATGTCATGCTGAAAATAATATTCATAATATTCCAGGAATATTGTGTTTTTATAGAGAGATATAATAAATATTATACGTATATGAATAATTTTCAAATCTATGCTTCAAATTTATAATCCTTATTATATTAACTCTTCAAAATTGACGTCAAAATCTATGACAAAATTACTGACACTGGATCTGTGAGACCTATTTAATTTATATTGCCTAAAAGACACTAATTAATTTCAAGGAATCAAAATGATACACTTACAAAGAGAGCAACTAGAAAAGAATAAATACTAAATTTATTTTAATAACAATAATAAATTCGCAGATGTAACATAAAAAATATAATTGAGTATATCCAATAGACTCATCGTCAGATTCAAGAGAGTAACAAAAATTTCTCAATTTTATTAATTTTAAATTGGATATCTGTAAAAATTTATTTTTTCAGAAAGAATTTACTAATCTTTTAGTTCTCTTTTAGCAAGTAAAAGAAGCGATTGCAGGTTTGTTCTTTCAATCAAAAGTTCTGTTATTTGTAAATCAATTATATGAATATGTTTAGGATTACTTGATTGAGCTGTTCTCTAGGACCAAGTTTGCACTGCGGAGCCGGCGCCGATCTCACAAAGTCCATGCAGGTTTTGCCAGTCAGGTCATACACAGGATCACCGGTTGCCACTTGCACAGGAAAACACTCTGGATGTTGTCTTCCTAATGGCGAACAGCATGATATAGAACTTCCATTGACGCCCTGACTGAGCGCGGTCGCGGTAATGTCATGATCTAGGAACTGGCCGAATACTGCCAGCATCACCGTGAAGGACGGATTACTGCTGGGCGAAGGTTTGTGTACTTTTAGACTAACTTCCCTAGCGGAAGGCAATTCCTTTCCGGATCGTGCCTTTCGAGGCGATTCGATTCCGTCGGCGTAATCGGGTGGCAGGGCTCTTCGAAACGGCGTCATGCTGGCGCCCCAGTTTCTCGGCCGATTGCAGCTGCCATCAATAGTTCGATATTTGCCGGTTTTACAAGTGCGGTCGAAGTATCGTTTGCATACATTTTTCGGTAACCAGCCGCTGTCGAAGACAGTATCGATCGCCGATGGTCCGTCATGAGTGGATCTCAAATAAAAAAAATATCAATAAAATCCTTACTAAATATATTATGATTTTATATGATAATTTTATTCGCTAATAATAAGTAGATATTAATTGAAAAAAATATAGTTTCACATTATATTTATAAGTTACAATTGGGAAGTTATTGAAACTAGATGGAGCTGTTATTTTGTAATGAGTAGACAAAATGGAACAAATTAAATATTATACTATAGATTATAGATAAGTTTTTTATAATGAGATTTTTGAAAGAGTATGAAAATTGTCACTCTTTTTCAAGAAATGAAATATTTTCTCCATTCTTCTCTAAAAGTGGCCGTATTTTCACTCTCTTAGAGTGAGATTTCACTTCAAGAAATGCCATGCAAATCAATCAAATGCCGTTCTAATTTTTTTAAACGTTTTTTTTTTTTTTCACACAGTGCATGAAAATAACATTATATTCTGAATTCTAATGCGAATTATGATTGTTTAAAATAATCTTAACAATTTAATTTAAAGAGTTTAATAATATTTTTTCTTAAAAAAATTGAAGATCTTCGTCATATTTGTGACACTTTACAGAACAAAACAAATCTTACCTAATTTTCTCGATCATTTTCGTCGCCGCAATTTCGCCCACTGCTGCTAAAGCAAGAGCGCTAACGTTGGAACACGTGCTCACTGCGTGGCGATGTCTGGATTCAGGAGATGAAGGTAGCAACGGTGACTTCGCAGCGATTATATCCGCAGATAGACGATCTTTTATCGCCTGTTCGCCAGCTCGTAATCCCTGGGTGTATTCCAGTTGGCTGAGATGTTTTCTTGAGGTATTGATATTCTCTTTAGATATTAAGATAGAATTGGGCTCAGCTGTAGCACTAGCGGTGCTGCTGAAGGCTGCGTGCGAAATAGACTCAAGTGCCAGTCCTAATCTCAAGGCATTATCAGAAGATAAACTGTCAGAAGATGTTGCATTGTCGTTCCCAGGATTAGTGGAGTTGGTTTGGCTCATAGAGTAGCTGACGGATACCACTAAAGCCATGGTAAAAACCACTCTGTGAAATCGTGAAAAATCATGAATTATATTGAAAAATCTAATCGCTTAGTAATCTTAATTTCTCCAATGTGCGATATTTTTGGCATGTAATTTATTATCTTTTAGTAATCCGATCAATTCTTGCGTCTACTGATAGCTCGATGAAGATTAAAAATCTTATAATTGTTAGAATGAAATTTAAATTGCTAGATATTTATTTTTTATTTCTGCATCTTTCAAAGCAAGTTTATTGATTTAGCTGCAGTTTTTGTAAGTAAAATATGTATATAATTTATCCCTAATTAAATTTGAAAGTAAAAAATAAGAATTTGGATGTAATTTGATAATTATAATTTGGAAATTTCTATCTATTAGAAATTATTTAATTTATTTTTTTCGATCCTATTTTGAACACAACTCACACTTACATCAAGATACCGCAGACGCAGCATTGAAATTGTCGCAGTCGCGTTCTTCGAGTTCTTAAGAGGCTGGCGAACTCAATGTAATCGATCGAATCCGTAGATCTTCTTAGAGGCGTTCTTTCCGTAACACCGCGCATTTTCGTCGCACAAAAACACTTAAGTTAAATAGTATGCAGAATTCTGTCTTCAGTGACAGGCGAGGTTCCTTCTTGCTTAGCAATTTGATCCCTCTTATATGACTCACCTTGCACGACTAACACGTATGAGTGATTGATACGTACAGATACCTGAGTTTTTCCGGTGCCACATTTATAACGAATAATTATGATTAATTATGATTCTAGTAATTATACAATACTTCACCGTTAAACTTCACCCTCGTTTGGAGAAAACTCTATCGAAAATTTCTCAATGAGAGAAAACTAATATATTTAAAATAATTTTTAATCGAGAGATTTTCCTGAAATTTTAACGAGTCGCTGTCATTTAGAAGATTTTAGGCACAGGCTTATTTTTATATTTTTTCAAGATGGTTGAAGGAAAGCAAAATCCAATAAAGTTTTTAACCCAAGTGGATTATTTGGTTCACACGCTCGCGCAGGCAATCTGATTATATAAGGTGAATTGAGAATCGACAATCGAGAGTGAAACATGAGTTGCCTCACGTATTTTTATTTTGCGGTATAATACGAGTTTGCGTCTTAAAATGCAAACGATCATGCATCATAGAAATGATCTACAACAATATTGTGAGTGTCTTGTTGTTATCTTGCAGTCAGTATGAAAATATAATTACGAAATATAATGTAAAATAAAATAGTATAATAAATAGTTCATTAAACAATTTAACGGTATTTTATACATGTCGGAAGCAAAATTAAAATTGAAATGCATCTACAAGATAAATCGGAAAGTTGCTGAGATTAATATAATTATCAAAAAAATTATGTTATTTTTATTAATACATAATACACAAAAAATATACATTTATGAATTTGTAATAAAAACATAAAAATTCGAAAAGCTGGCTGATTGCATATGATTGAATAATGTGTGTTTGAAAGATTTCAGCATTGGCAATTATTTCAATGAAAGGAATTCACCTGGAAATTACTTTTTCAAAAATATAGTTGCAATTATTAATGTTAAAGCATATTTAACAGTTTTTAAAAGTACCTTAATTATCATGCAAGTACAGATAATTATCATTTCGAAAATATATCATTGAGTTATGCAATTAACTAAATTCGAGTTCCGCTGGTCCTTTTTTAATATTAATTTTAATACATGTGTGTGTGTGTGTGTGTGTGTGTGTGTGTGTGTGTGTGTGTCTTAATATTTATTTTTACAAGTTTATATACATATATAATGAAAAACATTTTATATCTGTATTAAAAACGACTCACTTATATTTTTATCAAAATTTTTGTGTTGAACTTTTAATATCCGAGCATTAATTTAATATAATGGTGTTAAATTAATATATGCAATATTTTTTAATGCTTAAATAACAAAATTTAAGAGCAAATAAACAAATAATATAAAAATAATATATTTTAAGATAAGGGAATAAAATACATATTAATTTAATTAACATATTATAAATGTTAATTTTATTGAAAAGAATATATATTTCCATTGTTTTATATTTATAAATTGTGTCGGTTACATTTTTGTGTTTATTTTTTTACATAATATTTGTGTTATTTTTTAATATATTCATCTAGTATTAAATGAACACAAATTAGGTTTTAACTAAACATTTTATATGAAAAATAATGTACCTGATCAAATTGCTCCATTTTGAGATAGGTATCTATATTTAGCTTTTATAATTCTGAATAAAAATCTGTCTTCTTTGTCATATCCACAGAAAATCAACGATAAAAAATATAAAGTCACAGATTTTATGTGACTTTATATCTCTTTAAGATAACTTGATAATTTCTTTTATGCGTAATATACAGGGTGGGCCATCTATTGGTACGTTTTTGAATTTCGTCGTATGGCAACACCGAACGAGCTACAGACCCGAAATTTTGACAGTTTATTAGTCATACCGTCCGCGGCACGAAACAACATGTTTTCTCTTGAAGAGCGTTTTGAAATTTTAAAAACTTATTTTCAAAGTCAGTGCTGTGTCGCCGAAACTGTACGAATTTTGAAAAGAAATATGGGTCGTGATAGAGCACCCACCGAAGGAGCTATACGCAAATTGGTGAGGAAAGTTCGTGAGAAAGGGATGTTAGTGGATGACATTATATTACGACTGTTTTGAGTGAAATTGGCGCCGAGGTAGTCCAAAATGTCATTAATAATTGGGGTGACCGAATGGCATACTGTAAGGCCAGTAGAGGGAGCCACATGAACGAAATCGTTTTTCATTCTTGACGCGGATACTTTTAGCTTCACAACAAAAAAAAAATTAATAAAAAATATCAATGTATGCTCATTTGATCGCATTTTTAAAAACGTACCAATAGATGGCCCACCCTGTATAAGTATGTGCGTACCCATATATTCTTGAATATAAATGCTCCTTGTGTACGTGTTTATTTCATGTATGCTTTAGATATGTATGTGTGTATGTATGTGTGTGTATACAGTTTTATAAACACTATACACACACACACACACACACACACACACACACACACACACACACACACACACACACACGCACGTACACACATGCTTGTAAGATTACGCGACAAATACTCATACTTACATAATACATACAGCACTCAACATACAAAAATTCTTCGTCTTCTCAAGAAAATTGTGCATTAAAGAAAGCACTAAATTATCAAGAGATAGCAGATACTCACAGATTCTAGGCTTTCATATTTTTTATTCCTATTAATTTTCTGTGGATGACAAAGGAGACATTTGTCCATAAAAACTATAACATCCCAAAACGGAGTAATTTGACCAAGTAAATTGTTTCCATATAAAACATACGAGATCCAATGAATAGACTATTTAAAACGCGTGAAATATATAAAATTTAATACAAATTTTCCACCTATGTGTGTGTATTTCTTAATTTGTGCACTATGTATTAATGAAACCGATATTTCTTCTGCAGTTTAATGATTAATTTATTTCATTTTGTTTATTCATTACACAAAAGAACAAATATTTGACTTTAGCAACTTCTCGATTGCACTTAGTCAATTTCCTGTATATATTTATATGCGTAATGTAACACTAAACACTATACCCCCAATATTATGTCAACGTTTCAGACTCTACATTGTATAAAGTTTTCATCAAGATTGATATTATTGTGGCAATAACACCGTGGCGACGACAATGAACGCAGACGTTTGACTGCTAGAGGCAGCAGACGATGCCGCGGTGTGTAATACCACACATCTTGTACCTATGTAACATAATACGCCGTCGTATTATAGAAAGGCTTCCGCCCTTTGTTGGGATTCTCGAGAACATAAATTTATATTGGCAACAAATGATCGTAATTTGCGCACATTATAGTGCATGATGAATTTTATTAACATACCAAATGAACATTGGAATATTCCGGTAGAAATTTAATACTATTTTGATTGATTTTTAAGCAGCTGTATTGATTTTTGTCTAATAATTAAGGAGGAAAATTGTTCATACTATGATACTAATCAAGATATAATGCTTTTCTCGCAATTCTGCACAGTAAAAAAGTAAGTACAAAATGAATTCTCTTCTAATGAAATCTGTAGCCCTATGTTATTTCCTGTTCCTATATTGTTGCTTTAGCAAATATAGAAATATTACTATAATATTGCATCAAAATTTTATGAAATATTGTAATCTTTCAAAATATTGCTGCAATGTTAGTGCAATATTTTATACTGTAGGAGTCGAACTCTTGTATTTAACAATTTATAAAATAATTTTGGGGAAAGAGAACGTGAGACATTTGACGATTTATTATTTACTTTCTTTATTCCATACAGCAAAAATTGTATCGCTTAGGAGCGCGCAATTCAAGCCACTGTTCTTGATTCGGAACGTACATTTCGGCTGGCATGCGTTCGAGACCTGGAGATTCAGGAGATCCACGCTCGTTCGTCCTTCGAGCTAAAACCGCACAAAAGCAGTGAAAAGAAGACTTATGCCCGTATTCATAGTCAGACTTTGTACTTAAGGCTTCCTTAAATTTATCTTTAGATGCTCAGCAGCCAATTAGAGTATCTGAAGATAAATTTAAGGAAGCCTTAAACATAAGGCCTGACTATGAATACGGACATTAAACTCTCCTTGATAAAGTAAAAAAAAGATTTAGATCCCTATCATTAATAAAAAAATTTTTAGAGATGTTACGAATCTCCTTGTAATAAGAAGAAAAAATACAACATTTTGATATTAATTTATTTGCGATTGAACCTCGTTGAAAATCGCAAATATCTTTAAGAAGTACAAATAAATTCCACATTTAATTTACCCAATCGTTTGCGCATAGCGATAGCTTCACCCGGGTGCCTCAACAGAAGCCGACCAACGCCTTCGCAACGACGTAGGACCTCGTTCTTCAACAAATGATTCCTGACGTTTTGCGAGATAATCGAACACTCTGTGACCCACGTCGATACGTATGCGAAATCCGTCAACAATTGTTGCGCACCGTACTCGCTAAAATTTTATTTTAATAAACAATGGAATGAAGGATATAGAAATGTTAACAAATAGAAAACGTAAATTTCGCTTCTGCATTGCTTCACGAATAGCTTCAACTGGGATATCGAGCAAATAAAAAATTTACCTGAACTTGATGCGATGCAGATAAATATAATCAAGCCATGCCTCGCACATTATTCGTAGAATCATGTTGGATGTTTCATGATCCTCTATCACTTCCAATACTGGCAGTAATACTTTTTCTACAATAATTTTAATCATATTATTTCATGATAATAATAGAATAATAACAGAAGAAACATATACCAAAATAAGTTTCCACATAAAGACTAGCCGCAATCGGAGATGTGCTGTTGTTTTTTCTCCAATAATTCGATTGTGGAAAACACATATGCAAATTCGCGAGGCTGATCACGCGACATATTTTGGCGAGCGTATCGATGCACTTAGCAGGGCAAATCTATAGAAATAAAAAAGTATAAAGTCAGTTTTATAAGCAGTAAGAAAGAGATCCAAAGATGATTATAAACATTATTATTCAAAAGAAATCTTTCCCGATTTTGAAGGTATGAAATTTATTTCAATAAAAATTTATCGTCTCTATCATAAGACTAATATTTGGAATTTTATCTACATGAAAGATGTTGATAACAAAATATTTAAGTTATTTGTGTTTAATTTATTCATGGCACAATCGGAAAGTCTTTACTCCAAAAATCATCTTTTCCATTCATTTAATTAAATGTCTGAAATTCAACTAGTACATTATACCTGAAGTAATTCAATGTTTGCCTTGACTTCAGAAACGATCTTTGCTCTCATCTTCGTGCACACATATACTTGAACGCTAATAGAATTCATGGACAATGCGGTTGTGTGATCAGCGAGCTAAAATCAATCGATAAAAAATGAATACAGTATTTTCCTTATAAAAAACATATTTAAAAAATAGTACCTTAAGATAAGATAACTCCTCGAGGCAGTTTACCACATCACCCTTGACTAAGAGAAAAAGCACGTCTAGATCCCAAGTGTGGGCTATAATCTTAGTCTCTTGAATGGCCCACAATCTCGCCGTGTGTACCGAATGATCCATCCTGTGCAACACAACAATCTGCTCCGACAATGGCAGTTCTACCAAGGGTGCTCCTATCACCCATTCGCCGCCCACCTCGCATTCGTTGCTGAGGGTGACCAGTAGTTGAAACAGCTCGACAAACATTTGACCGGTGTCAGTTCCCTACAAAAACATTAATTGGAATGGTTATTTGCATAAATATCTACTAAAAAAAAACAATTTTTTTCTAAAATTTAGTTAAATACGAAAATCAAAATAATTTTATTAAAATCATGAAAATAATTATGTAGAACATTCAAATTGATAGCAAACTTTTTGTAACATTATTCATCATGTTTAAATTTCCTATATAATTAATTTAATAATTCAACAAAATTATTTTCAGATGTGTACCTATTTAATTTTTTTTATATTTCAGCAAATTCTTCTTTCCATGTAGAAAACTTATTATTTTCCCTGCTTTTCTACTAATGATTTTTCTGTTATAACTATAACTTTTCTTCTATGTTTATTAATGCATTTTATTAAACATCTTTGAAATTCTAGATTGAAAGTTTTCTTTATAAAGTACCAACCTCTGTGGCTGACGGCTTCGAACGGCACTCGAAGGCCGAGGTGTAGGCTAATCTAAATGTCTGATCCCAAGCAGTGACAGTCGTATGATATCCGAGCGTATCGCATAAATTTTGTAGCGCTGATCTAACTGTAGGCGGGACTAAAGTTTTAAAGATAATAATACTTTTCCTCCAAAAACAAAATTAAAAATGAGAAATGATTTTAAATAGAAAGACATCCTTACTCTCATTCCCTTGAATAAATTGCCGCAACCAATCTTTGAGATGCTGAGCGCCATGGCTGTGATGAGTCGCAAGAGCTTCTCGTGACCACCACAATATTACATGATCTAAAATACTAGACAATGCACCCCATGCCACCTCTTGATAATAATTCTTTACTTTCTTTATCGCACTGCCTCTCAATTTTGTCTCGCCTAATGAAATTTTGAATGCATCGCTTTGATCATTTTATTACATTTTATTATAAATAATTTAACATTAAAAGATAAGTCTTTAAATCTATTTGGACTATACCTTTGCTAGTTTTCAAGGCGTCGGTGCCAAGCAATTGTGGTGATATTTCCTGCACGACGTTTAAGAGTCTAAGAATCTGCTCATTTTGCGTGTTCACGAGTGCCTGCACACTTTCAATATTTGATGCCTCCACTTCAGATGTCGAAGTCGCACTTGTGATTGGTGGCGTTAAATGCCTTGTAAGAGCGCTATAGTTTGAGAAAATTTATAACAAATATAACAGATTTAATTACATTGTAATTGTAAAAACAGTCCTGACAGTAGTTGGATACATAATATAAAAAAGATATAGAAATATGTAATAATAATTATATATAAAGATTTATTATTGCGATCAAAGTATAAGATTATACTTTGAAACAATAATAATACTGACGCAAACTGACCGATAGATTTCAATGCTAGAACTTTCTGAAACGTCTACATCGTTCGTTGTAGATACAGGCTCGATTTTTTCATGAGGTTCATAATTTGCCAGAAGACAGTCAATAAGTTCGTGACAAGATTCCTCTGCTCTATTCTTTGCTAATATCTAAAATTATTAATGTAATGCTGTTTTAAACTTAATCATATCTATTTTTAAAAAATATCAATTTTTGATTGCTAAAAGCTATACACATAATGAATTAGAATACTCACTTGTAATATTTTGGTAACGGAGAGTTTTTTCAAAGGCTCCAGCATAGATGGGCAATCATTGTAAAAGACATTGACAGATGAATCTGACACGTCTCGATTCATATTAAGAATTTTGTTGTAACTATTTACCAATCTGCAATTTGTCCATTATTTTGTTAAGGCATTTGATAATATTAGAAAATGTAAAAAAAATTCTATGGAAAAAATTAATTCTCTGATATCAAAAAGCAATTAAAATAAAGTAAAAATAAAATTGAAGCAATACATAATTATAATGCAATAGAAAGAATTATTTTCTTTTAACTTTTACCTAAATACTATTCTTATGTTCTCATCATTTTTGTAATCAACAATGTCGTTAATCAAATTTTGGACGAATTTTGCTATTATATTTAGTTTGCGCTTTAATACTATTGACAGATGATTTATTTTATATTTGTATATCGGATGACTGCTTAATTCTTCCGGATTGCACGTCAATTTATAACTTTCTATTAATTCCTCTAAACTATCAATCACTTCCTCAAACACCTGTAAAATACACGAAGCAATTAACTCCACATATCATCATTTTCTATCATTTTATATATTTATTGATAAGAAAAGAAAACATTTTTATTAGAAAGAAGACCTCTTGATCGCAAGTGCGAGCCTCTGCAGAATCCTCGATGATTAAAGCTATGCATCCTGCAAGTTTTCCCATTTTCTCGTCCAAAAGAGAAGCATCTATGAGCCATTTGTCGAGGGCACCATCAGAAAGAGGTAGCCACTTTGCGATGTTTGCTCTGTAATTAGTATCCATGCGTCGATGCGTTAATCACGCTAATGATGACCTTTAATGATATTTCTCCTTAGTTAGTGTTTAAAAGAAATTTCTTTTGTCATTTTTAAAATATTATTTTGAATCCTTTTTTCACCAGATTGCATTTTTAATACTTATTTAAAAATGTAATTCAATGTTAAAGAGCATAATTCAACATTTACTTATTTAGTTAATAATGCATTTCTTGTTTTGAACGCGATTTTATTCCTACACGATTGAGATCTCTTGAAGAATTTATGGATTACACATCACTTCTACGAAATCATACTGGGCAGTGAAAATGAATTATATATTGATTGATTGTGTAAAAATTGTAGTTATACACTAGTCGTAGAAAAATGATTTTAAAACGATTGTATAATAACAGATTTAATTATGCGGTCGGAATTATGTAATCGTTTCTTGGAAAAGATAGCTTTGTCCACGGTTTGCTAATTTGCTCGACATTTTATCTATTTTAGAGATGATATTAGCTATTGTCACTTTTAATGGGAATGGCAAGTGTTGTACCACGCGTTCTTAGTTGCCACGGATACGTTTGACGCATGGCAAAGATATCTATATACATCGATACATATATGTATACAAGTAGCCCGTTTTTACCACCTGTTTTTACCATCAAATTTCTAGGTTGATTCTGTTCATAACAATTTTGCCAAGCATCGAAATTTTACAACATTTATTTAATTTAATTATAATAATTTTTGAAATATTAAAATACAAACAAAAATTACGTTAAAATACTGTAAAGTTGCAAAATATGAATATAATATATTAATATATTGAACGTAACAGGTAAGTTTGGGGAGATGCTATTTGTATCATTCTATCCTCGTTTTACATCTAATGAACACAAACAAAATGACACAAATAGCGCAATAGCGATAGTCTTCTCGAATGTATTCAATGTATCGTATTATTTACATTTATATTTTGTAATTACATATATAATATATATAAGTATTAGGTGTTGGAATTAATTCGTAGCGTCTTTAAATGAAAGAATGTTATTTATTTCACATGAGCATTAAAAAATACATTAATGAAAGTACTTCCCATCACTTGTAAAACGCTACGAATTAATTCCAACACCTAATATATATATTAATTTGTATATATAATTTGTATATAAGATAATGAACAACCTGCGACATTTAACATATTACAATGTATTTTATGAGAAAATTACATTAATAGATTTACATTTATTAAATGTAAACATTCATCTGTAAGTTATCATTTCTAAATCCATTGAAGAGAGATGGCTTAATGTAAGCCGAAACATTCTTCTATTATTATAATTTTCTTATGAAACACATTGTAATTTGATAAGACAATAAACATCGAGTTTAGCTTATTGCTCTTTATAATTGAATAAGTTTTAGATATTCATAGTCAATTCTTATATTTAAGACCGTCTTAAGTTCTGTTTTGAGATGTCACGAACCAATCGGAGGGTCGCATTAGCGTTTTAAGACATTATTTAAGATGGTCTTAAAATAAGAATTGACTATGAATGTCGGACTAAATATTAATTCGCTATAAGCTTTATATAGACACTTATTTTCAAATAATTAGCATATCATACAAAATACATATATTTATAAAGTTCTTCATCTAAGTAATGAATTTAAAGAAATGAAAAGATCTCAATTTCACAATTTTCCATCTTTCTCTGTAAAAAACGAAAAAAATAATTATTATATGTAATTATTATACATAATTATTATATTATACGTTGTTTAGTCGCTACGACTTTAGGATCCCCTTTAGCATAAATAAACAAAGATCACATTCGATCATAATAATCTTAAATCTGGAAACATGATATTTCGGCACTTTAGACACGTTAAAGATATATTCGATCTTCGTGAAGTTCAATCGTAATGGTTACCAGAGCAACAAAAATATAAATTGCTAGTGTTTTTTTTCCAGGGTAGCTCATGGCCGGTCTCTAAATTTATCGTGTTTAAATAAAAAATTTAATTAAAATTTCGATTTGATCATTTATCAAAATTTTCATTGTATAACATCAGGAAAAGTTTCATTTAAAAAAAATCAAAATGGTATAGAAAAATAAAATTACGTTTTCTTTAGTCTTGACTCTGACAAAAATTACAAAATTTTATGAAGTGTGAATTAAATAAAGTCCATCAAGATTTGCAGTTAAACGTAAAATACATATGTGATTTATTTATAGCGCGAGTGTATATCGATACATGTGGGCCAA